AAGTTCACAAGAGGAGACTCTGAAGTTTACGTTAGAACAGCCAAACACATCTGCAATGACTTTCAAACGTCTTAGGAAATGTTTTCTAAAGTGAGTGTGATGTTTCAAGGTTTCTCACAAATCTTTAAAAAGTGAGATAAAGAGCCATAAATATATTTTATTTAATTCAGTAGTATCCACTTTCATCTTTGTCACCAGCTTGAGGAAGAAACCTGCCAACAGACCAATGATGGGCACTGTTACACTGCGTCATTGACACTGGACAGTTTATATAATGGACAAACTTCTGCATCTGGTTTAATGTCTAAAACCTGCATTCTATGTAAAGCCAGAGGGGCAGCCTCCATTGGCTGCAATATAAACTGATACCATGAGTCTTATTAGAGAAATGAGTTGACTTTCAGTTGATTATTCCCTCAGATACAACAGTTTCCTGATGGAGTTTTCTCCGTCTCAGTCTCTAGTTTCAGTCTTCTTCCCATACAGCCATGATGTTGCATCGATAACACTTTCAGTTAAACACACACAAGAGACAGTAATCCTATACCGAAGCAACACCACATTTTTTTGGGGGGGGGGGGTATCTCTGCAGCCGCTGCGAACTGCTTTCAACAGATTCCTCTGGGGAAAACATTTCAGCTCTGTGACAGGAAGTAAACAAGACTGTGAGAGATGTGTGCGACCTTCAGCCTTCGCAGCCTCAAACCATCAACACAGACCAAAGAGCTCAGAGAGGCTGGTGACGAGGACCGAGCCGGCCACGAGAGCTGTGCATGCAAATCAGACGTCAACACCGTCCCGATGTTCCTTGGCAGCACACTCCTCTCTCTCACAACTGCCTGAAAACACACAGAGCTAGCTAACAATGGCTGTTACGTAAGATCCATCAGTGTAATCTAGATTTCACCAGCTGAAATATGGAGGTCAAGCAGAGATGAGCTGCAGCTTATCAGCCGGTTTCAGATGAGATGTATACAACTCATCGCTTGTGGACATTTTTACTATTGTTGGACCTAATTTCTACTTTTTAGTTTCCCAAAAGATAAACTGAATTGTAGAAAACAATGTTGAAATGATCCCTCACTTCAGCCAATTAGCTGATTACACCTTGTGGATGTGAGGGGAACACGGTTTGGGTCAGAAAATCAATCCTTATTTATTTATTTGTTTATTGTTTTATCAGGTTGTTTAAATCAAGCAAAAAGGAACATTTTACTTGTTCCATTAATTTCAAGGGGAATCCGAATCCTACAGTATACAAATCTTCTGACTGAGTTACTTGTTTTTTTATGTAGGTCATATAGTCATCAGTATTAAACTGTTAAACTGTGAGACTGTTTCATAACCAAACAGGGACAGTGCACGTTAATAACCATTATTGCTGTAAATGCACCAGAATTAGCTAAAAGTCTCTGGACAGATGTTACAAAGTCTAAAAAAGTGTTTAAATTCTTTATAAGTGTTCAGAGCAATGATAAAGAGGATAATATTAATGTAAGTAAATATAAAATACAAAGAATTATCATACTACATTATTGGCCAGGTGCTAATTAAAACACTAAACAGAAGTAAACTACATATTACATGGACTGCTATCCATCATTAATTTATAAATTATCCATAAATTAAAAACACTATTGAACAATAAAAGTAATGTTGCAATGAAAGTTTGTAGTTGCTTGTGTTGTTCTTAATTATCTAATAAAAACACATAGGTCCAAACTAGGGAGTAGTGGTAAAATATTTAATATTTAATTTTGCTCATTATTTCCATCAGGGATGACCAAGTACAACATTGTCTGTATTCGTATCTGTATTCAAAACGGGTGGTGCTTCAACCGGAAGTTGTTAATGTAAGCTTGAAATTTAGGTTTCTTTTTTTTTTTAAATAAATGTTGCTATATTTACAAATACCAATATTGAGACATTTTTACTAACGGTAAGTTAATGATTTTCTTTTCTTTTTATGTGTTGGTAGTGATGTATTTTTAGCAGAGGCTAAAACAAGTTGGGTTAGTGTGTACATTAACATCTGTGTGTGTTTTTGTGTGTGTGTTTTCAGTATTGGACAGATTTCTACCTGCAGTGGAACATTTCCGACTATCCAGGTGTGACCAACGTCAGATTCCCCGACAGCCAGATCTGGAGGCCCGACATCCTGCTGTACAACAGGTACATGAATGAACCCAGGAGACGCTCGCTTTGTGAATCTGAACTGTGTGTTCTCACATTGTTTGATCAGGGCTGGGTTAAAGGCCACATCGAACCATAAGCAGAGAGCTGTTTGCTTCCTCATAATTACATATTTCCTGTAAAAACAGGCCAGGCTGGGAGGGACTTGAGGTAGCTGATAGCTCTGAATGTGTGTTTTATCCCCGCGTCAAGCAGATGACATCTTAAGCCTGCTTGCTGCCTATATGTTGAGGCTAGCTAAGACTGGTTCTAGGGTTGCACAATATGGCGAAAACATCATATTTTTATTATTTTGATGTGACTCACAAACTCAAAACTATTAAAGTCATGATGATGTTAATTTTGTACAAAACAAATACTTAATTTAGATTTATTCTTAAATCTGGAGAACAGAATTTGTAGGACTATAACAATACTTCATTCTAATGCTGTTTTGTCAAACATTTTACTTTTGTATATAGCACTTCATTTGTCGTATTGCAATTTAGATAATTTTGATGAATTGTGCAGCCCTAATTAATTCATGAGATAGCACGATATAAGGCAGTATTGCATACATAAAGCAAGATATGTAAAAAAGGAATAAAACTTTGAATTATACGGTGATTTAATAGCAGTTTATATATAATTTAAATATAATTTATAATTTCGTTGTAAAAATAAGGAGGAACTGTTTAGATCTGGCTCTACAGGGTCTTCTTTAAATGGGAAATGTCAGAGAAGAGACGGAACAACAGGATCAATTTGTCTTTGGTGGATTGAGGATGTTGGAAGTCATGGTGAGACGCCCTGAACGAGGCCAAAGACAACTCACTCTGTTCACGGTCTTATTTTCTTCCCTCAGTTCTGATTCAGTAAACAAGCTAATTCATCTAATTCCCTCCTGTTATCAGCACTAAAGATAGGTCCTCTCCCTGTCAGGATTAATACCTCACTGTTAACACACACATCAGAGCTGCTGGCTGGGGGAGGCTCTCTGCTGGATGCTTACAAGCGTCTCAGCTCATTAACCGAGCAGCGTTCAGGAGTAAAGTTTGATCCTGGTGGGAGGAAGGAGGAGAGGCGGGGAGTACTGTCTGAGGGAATATTGAACTGGCTGGCTTTAATGAGAGGGGGCAAATGAACAGGACCAGAAACTTTGAATTATTATTGGGCACTGGGTCAACTTTTACTACAAACTTAGTGAATTTTCTTCTTCTGGATGATAATTGTTTTTTAATATACTGAAGGTAGGCCACACAAAGAAACCCTGATGTCTCCAGTTTTTCCGTGAGGATCCTGAAGCATTCTTGTATAGCCTGACCAATTCTGGATATTTGAGGCTGGTACAGATATTTGTGGTAACAAACAGAGACTTCATTACGACACCGTGGTACAACATCTGCATCAATCCACCTGTCAAGCTCCATCTTAATTTCACTTACGTAAAAGACCCCGAGATACTTCAGCTCCCAACCCAAAATGAGAAATCCACCAGAGGTGGAGGCAGAGCGGGTCGTCCCCTAATCGGAAGGTTGTTGGTTCGATCCCCGGCTCCTGGTGCCACATGTCGAAGTATCCTTGAGCAAGATACTGAACCCCA